TCTCTCGTCCTCTCTCCCCATGCCTCTCCCTCTCTGACTGTGTGTCCATGAATCAATAAGTATTTGTCTGTCTTGTTTCTCACATCATGTACGTACACACTCACGCACTATGTCTTTATAGATTGTTGGAATGGCACAGATCACAACAGGAGCTTCATTTCTGGTAAGCACACGTACATGCATGCCTGCACGAGGAATGCATGACCGCTCGATCAGATGCTTCTGATATCAAAGGCGTGTACACTCCAGCTATTCCAGTACTCATCAGCAAACCATACCAGTAGGTACGCGTATCATACGGTATAAACATTAGTATAGAGAGGTCCTGCAATGTAGTTGAAGAGAGAGCGAGCGAGAGACTTCGTTAGACAGTGTCCTTTGCAGGATAACCTTGGTCCTTGATCTTGCAGCAGCACCGCCGGACTCAATACGTCTCGTACATTGTACATGTGCAAAGAGAGGGACAAACCCATGTCTTAGCTCAGAACCGGTTCACATCATCGAGCAACCTATGCATAGTGCGGTAGCCACCTTCCAGCTCAACTTCTCTTCTTCTCACTGCACACTGTACATGGCATAGACTGGGTTCGAGAGGTGCTAGCCACAGAAGCTGGAAAGCTAACTGCTTAATTCCTTAGAAGGAGCGACATTGGCAATAATAATAATAATAATAATAATAATAATAGATGATTCGAACAAGTTTTCGTACAACACTCTTCAGGAATCACCGTTGTACTAAAGAACAAAATGAGAACAAAGGAAATAATATAGCAATCAAGGTAGGGTGACACGATACAATGACAGCACTAGAATATCGAGGTGCGATTTCTCACAAAAGTGTGCAGAAAACAAGGGTATACAAGTAAGAACTAAGCGTGACAAGTGTGTATCAGCAACAAAAAACAAAAAAAACAAAAACAAAAAAGTGAGAACGAATGATAATAATAACAATCATAAACAAGAAGGTGACAAAACACATTTAGGCACATTCATAAGCCGAATTTGTGTGTCCAGAAAGATAGTGTTATTACCCTAAAATTGTTCAAATAATGTTCTGTTGTGTAGTGTGGCAACGTTGTTGCCACTTGTGCCTAAATGTGTTTTGTCACCTTCTTGTTTATGATTGTTATTATTATCATTCGTTCTCACTTTTTTTTTTTTTTTTTTTGTTTTTTGTTGCTGATACACACTTGTCACGCTTAGTTCTTACTTGTATACCCTTGTTTTCTGCACACTTTTGTGAGAAATCGCACCTCGATATTCTAGTGCTGTCATTGTATCGTGTCACCCTACCTTGATTGCTATAATTATTATTTCCTTTGTTCTCATTTTGTTCTTTAGTACAACAATAATAATAATAATAATTTTTTAAAAGAGGTCGGAGGCGGATAATACTTTAAAACGAAGGTAAGTTATGGGTCGCAAATATCCACGCAAACACAAATCCAGTCAACAACAATTTTCCACCTTGTCACGAGTGTTGTTATCTAAATATCTTTACGCTATATAAGTTTTAGTCTTTCCAGCTTGAGCCATTCCCTGTATAATCCTTGATGAGAAGGGACCGAAAACGTTCGGATACTTATGACAAGTGCCTTATTATGACTGGATGTGTGTTTGCGTGGATATTTGCGACCCATAACTTACCTTCGTTTTAAAATAATAATAATAATATCTTTTCTTTCCTTTCTTCCTCTTCCTTCAACTGTTTCTTGTCCCTTTGGTTTTTAGGTTTTATTTATTTATTTATTTTTGTTTGTTTTTCACTTTCTTTTTGCTGTCCCACCCATGGAAATATTTCCCGGTGGGTCTGGCTTATCGCCTTCGAAAGAAGTGAATAAAGGAGAGATAATAATAACTGGTGAAGCAGATTGGTATGAATATGGAGCTCACGCTTCCTATAGAAATGAGTCTGAGTTTCACGCCAAAAGGCCAATACGATTATGAGTCAACACAACAGAACTGTATTGTTCTTGTACTGTCCACAGAGCTATAGATCATCGCCGGAAGCGGAGATCATGTATCTGAACAGAGCGACACCGGGCGCCAGTCTTATTGTGGCCGGATCGCTGCTGCTGCTCTCCGCTGTGCTGGGATTTGTCGGTGCGAGGAACGTGTCCTGGCCGTGGCTCTGCGTGGTAAGTATGCCAGTACATGTACATAATTATTAAAATGGACTTCGAAGTACCGTACACTGTACATATACTCGTAGTCACGTGTACGTACATACACGTACACTGTACATGTACTCGTAGTCACGTGTACGTACATACACGTACACTGTACATGTACTCGTAGTCACGTGTACGTACATACACGTACACTGTACATGTACTCGTAGTCACGTGTACGTACATACACGATTACACGTACACTGTACTTTTTTTTTTACATCAAAAACAGCCTCTTTTACGGGCAAGATTAAACATTAAAAGCAACACAATGATGAGAAAACAAGAGGGGTAAACACAATAACTTTATCAACGCTGTTGACTCACGCATACACACATACACACACACACACACACACACAAGATAACAATGATACTCAGTACCTAGACTGCAGGAGTTGCAAAGAAAGTTAAATCAATGCAGCCTCCGCGTTTGCGAGGACAGCAGACTGATCATTGACGCGGCGCATCCGCCGGGCACCACGAAGGCAGGCAACACTGGCACGCAGGAGACCAAAACCAAGACGACAACGCAGCAACGCCATCACCATTGCGTATGGCTCTCCGGATTTCTCAGCAGACAGAGTAGCAATTCGCTTGAGAAGAGCGGAAGCAGCTCGACCGGCTCCACCTGTGGCTGAGAATACGACAGGTACGAAGGAGGCTCGCTCAACTTCTTGCACCCTCTGACCATACCTGCGACGCTTCTCTCGCTCATGGCTCTGGTAGCGAGCAGCGAGAGAAGAGGAACGGTTTGAAGGAGCGAAAGGGTTAAACACCCGTACATCAAGATAAACGCGTTCAAACCGTCCTCCCCACACGCCACTCGCCGCCACATCCAGACGGGCTTGATCCTCGGTGGACGCCGTCCGGTAGCGGAAAAGCTCGCCGGTGAGGGGTTGGAGATGAGGCTCTACTTCTACGCTGTGTGCCACCTTCTTCAGTTGGCCAGCGATGATGTCCCGTACCTCATTGTGGCGAAGCGTCGGGAAACCACCAGTGGGGCAAGAGAGAGCATGCTCAACAGAGAAGGTGGCACCACATGTCACAGACACAAGTAGAAGTACTACCAGAAAAATAATAATATGTAGCGCAAAATAAAGAGAATGAAAATAATAACCGGTCAAGCGCTAAATACAAACAGAAGAAAAAGAAATCATAAGCCAATACGCGCTAAACTGCGCTTAAATTATAATGAAGGGAGAAAAACTGGAATCCGCGGAAATTATAACATACAAAATGATACAGAGAAAAAAGGGGGAAAACTGGGGGAAACAGACAGGTTGTCTACAGATGACACTCGGAGACAGCAAGTGTGGCAGAATATGCATGAGGGTCATACATGTACCTGCTCGACTTGTGGCGATGCCCACGAAGACATGCCACGGCCGCCTTCACGAGAGCAAAGGACAGCTGGGCTCTGATCAAAGCCATTGCCACAGAGAAAGGCTCACCATTCTTCTCAGACTTGATGCCTGCAATGCGGCCAAAGAGAGTGGAGGCTGCCTTCCCTTGGCCACCAGTCGTACTGAACACCACGGGGATGAAGGAAGCGTGCTCAACGTTGAGAATGCGACTCTCATAACTCCTCCGTTTCTCCTCTTCGTGCTTTCTGTAGCTGCCAGCGATCGTTGGTTTCCGATTTGAGGGGGCAAATGGGTTGAAAACCCGGACATCTAGAAAGGTCCTCTCAAACCGTCCACCGTGTAGACCGCTGACAACTACATCCAGCCGAGCTTGTTCTGCCAGTGCTGGTATCACCATGCTTGCTTTCGAATTCCAGGTAGCGCTTAAAGACGTGCTTCATCTTCTTGGATGACAGCTGGATGTTGATGAGGCGCTCGAAAACCGCCCTGACATCATCAACATGTTCGTCACGCAGCAGCATGTCTATGTAGATGGACCACAGGTCGACACGTTTCGGGTAGTTGGTGACGAGACTCTCGAACATGGTGCGTCCACGCTCGACCTCGCCATGCTTAAACTCCAGCTGGGCAAACTTGCTGATGACGTCCACGTGTTCAAACTTTCGCAGACTCTTCAAGCCTCTGTCCATCAGACGGCGGGCAGCATCGGGCTTGCCCTGGCGGAACTTGAACAGACCGTACTGTTCCCAGACTTCTCGGCTCTGCGAGAAGCGCTTCACCATTGTAGCATACAGGTCATCCGCTCGCTCAAACTTCTTCGATTGGATGTAGATGCGCACCAGGCGGAAGAAGACCTTCTCTGGTTCATTGGTGCGAACGGCCTCATCAAACACCTTCATCAGACTTTCGTGACTTCCGTATACGTTCTCTAGATTGAGCCAGGTCACCCAGATATCCAGCTTGCCCTTCTCGTTGCGGAAGTTCAGCGTTTCCAGGGCCCGTTGGGCTACAGCACGCGCCTTGTCAATCTCCGCCGAGTGCATGTGACACGCCATGAACTGGATCCACGTGTCCGATTCGTCCGGATTGGCCGCCACCAAGCGCTCAAAGTCTTGCACAGTCTGCATTGGGCGCTCCGTGTCCAGCAAAGTCTCTTCCATCGCTCGCAAGTTGGCCTCATCTTGCTTTTTCTCGGCACGCTTCTGTCGCCGGGTCTTCTTTCGTTGGCTATTGGACATGTTCTCCTCGCCATCTTCGTCGTCAGAGCTACTGTCTGAAGCTGCTCCGGCCGCTGCAGCCTGTTTGCCTGCACTTGCTTGTGCTTCAGACCACCAGTCAAACTTGCTTGGTAGCTTCAAACATGCGGCAGAAGACTTGCCAGCCGGAGTAGCAGAATCATCGTCACTGTCAGTATCGCTATCGTCATCTTCCGTATCCTGGTCTGAGCGCTGAGAAGCAACATCAGCGTCCTCCGAGTCTTGCTCTCCATTCTCCACATCATCTTCAGACTCCGAGTCAGATGTCAGCATCTCTGCTCCTTCTTCCTCCATCATTTGTCTGAGCTCCGCATCACTGTCAACCTCATTGTCATCATCACTATCTGCGTCTGCAGCTGCCAAGACACGGCCACCAGTTAGCTTCGTGCGTTTGCCTGATTGGCCATCGGCATCCTTGGAATCGGACGTCTTGCGCTTGCGCTTCTGCGGTGAGATGTGAGAGTTACGCAGCGACAGCTCAATCTTGCTCTGGTTATAGTCCACAGCCATGACCTTGGTCACCACCAGCTTTCCAACTGGATAAGCCTTCTTCCAATTCTTCACAAAGTTCTCTGACAAGTTAGTGATCTTGGCTCGGCCAACAATGTTTCGAGATAGCCTCACAAAGAGACCTGCATTGTCAACAGCCGCCTTGACGTAGCCCCGTAGGATCTGGCCCTGCTTGATGTCAGCGATAGATTCGATCTCTGGGTCTCGCACGCTGGTGCCAGTGGCGGTGACAGTAGCACCGGTGCCCGATTGCCCGTGCCGTTCCGCATCGGACGCGGTGTCCGGCATGGTACCGTTGTTGCTTGACGAAGATCCTGAGGTGCGTGATGGTCGCAGTGACACGTCCAGTTGGCCACTGCTTTGCTTTTCCAGAATATAACACCTAGCGATCATATGGCATGGATAGTTGCTCAGCGGGTCCTCCTCGTAGCTGTCACTAATGTCGGTCAACGCGCAGCGTGCAAACGTCTTCACACCGGGTAGCTCCAGCAACAGGGCTTCGTCAGCGATGACCTTGGCAATGCGACAAGTGCGCACTTCACCGATACATACCTCAACTGACTTAGCCAAGCGGAACAGGCGGTCGGCCTTGATGAACTTGGTCACAGTCGCAGTGACAGCACTGCCCGGCTGAAAGTACTTATCCGGATTAGCAGCAGCCTCCTTAGTGGTAGCGGCCTCCAGCAGGGGCAGAGTGGCACGGACCGTGGGAGTAACGAGGAGATTCAGGTTGCTCTTCCAGACCTCTTTGACAAAGGCAGTCACGCGTGATCCGGGTTTCAGCTCCTGGACAAGCTCCTCAGTTAAGTCCTTATCCTTCAGAGTTGCCTCGTCAAGAGAGTCATTCTCAACAACACTCTCCTTGGCACTCAGCTCCGCCACTTCGTAGAAGTCGTGGTGACTGATTTCAAGATGTCTGTTTGATTTGAGCTTGCGGAATCCAATCACGCGGCACTTGATTTCGTCGCCGTTGTGAACGTCAGCAAATGGCCACTTGCCTGCGGCTGGCTTATCGGTGAACTGGCTCAATCTAGAGAACGTATACGGAAGTCACGAAAGTCTGATGAAGGTGTTTGATGAGGCCGTTCGCACCAATGAACCAGAGAAGGTCTTCTTCCGCCTGGTGCGCATCTACATCCAATCGAAGAAGTTTGAGCGAGCGGATGACCTGTATGCTACAATGGTGAAGCGCTTCTCGCAGAGCCGAGAAGTCTGGGAACAGTACGGTCTGTTCAAGTTCCGCCAGGGCAAGCCCGATGCTGCCCGCCGTCTGATGGACAGAGGCTTGAAGAGTCTGCGAAAGTTTGAACACGTGGACGTCATCAGCAAGTTTGCCCAGCTGGAGTTTAAGCATGGCGAGGTCGAGCGTGGACGCACCATGTTCGAGAGTCTCGTCACCAACTACCCGAAACGTGTCGACCTGTGGTCCATCTACATAGACATGCTGCTGCGTGACGAACATGTTGATGATGTCAGGGCGGTTTTCGAGCGCCTCATCAACATCCAGCTGTCATCCAAGAAGATGAAGCACGTCTTTAAGCGCTACCTGGAATTCGAAAGCAAGCATGGTGATACCAGCACTGTTGCCGAGGTGACCAAGAAGCTACGAAATATGAGCGCACCGGATACAGAGTAACAAACCTTTTTTTCTCTTTCTCTTCCTCAGTACTCGTAGTCACGTGTACGTACATACACGTACACTGTACATGTACTCGTAGTCACGTGTACGTACATACACGTACACTGTACATGTACTCGTAGTCACGTGTACGTACATACACGTACACTGTACATGTACTCGTAGTCACGTGTACGTACATACACGTACACTGTACATGTACTCGTAGTCACGTGTACGTACATACACGTACATACTGGCTACAAGACGCGTTTGTCTGTTCCTTCTTGGTCTGAGACAACAGCACACAGCAAGACTTTGAAGATTTTTCAATCTACATGTAGTTATCGCCTAAGAAAAGACCTAAAAGGCAGAATTGTGATAGGCAACGGCATGGCAGGAAAGAGAGCAAGGAGAAAGTAACATTACGAGATCGACACAGCCGTGAAATTCTGAAGTTATGATAGGTTTCTTTCTTTTCGGTCTCTTCATTTTGTTTGCGATACCTGTCTCGATGACGTTATCATGTTACTCCCCTTTCTCCACCATGGCTAGCCAATATCCATGCACTAATCAATCTTCACGTTGTCCTGTGTTCCTACTGGACTTTGACGTGACAGACAAAAAGATGCAAATGGAACTACCGGTAGTAGTAGTAACGAAAAATGCTTCTGCTGTCGCTGTACTTCACATCCTATTTATTTTAATGATGGATAAGCAGGCATAATTGTTATGGTTTTGCTCTCCTGTAGCTTGGAGCAGCTCTCAGTCTGCTCACAGCCTTGCAAATCGTTATCGCAGTGGTCGGATTCGTTGAAGCCAGCTCGGTCAGTCCTACTTATGTCCATAGTACACCTTCATAATAATTATTATGACTGAATTCACAGATACCTGTAGAAGACTAGAAACTACTAGGGATTGGATATTACTCAAATTCTCGTGTCCATGTATGGCAATCCTAAGGACACTACCAGTAGTCCACTTCTATCATTATGCGTAAAGGCTCTGCGCCCACTGCATTGAAAGCTGCTGCTGCAGCTACTGCTATCTGTCTGTAGCTATGAACATACATGTACAATGATGTGATAATGGGGGAAGAAACTCCTATGCATGTTCTACTGTTGTACTATGACGTCGAGTGTGTACTGTGTTGTCTGCTTTGCAGGTAGGAGATAAGGTGCACCGTTCCATGTTGTACACCCTGGGCCACCACGAGATCGATCGCTTCCGCTCCGCATGGGACACTGCACAAAGGAAGGTATGATGCGTGCTGCACTGCCAATGGAATCATTTTCCAGTTTCTTGACCTTGGAAGTATTAATATTGAGCATTTCGCAAAAATGCCTCAAACCCTAATAGTAAGAAACGCCGCCCGTTCTTATTCGACGTCAAGGTATACAGAATTATCGCTTAGCATCAAAAATTAATACGTGAAAAGTCGGCGTGGAGAAAGTAATTTAATCAGAGCAACATGTGTACATGTAGCAACAGATATGTTATGTGATCCATATTTCTTTGTCTGTATCCCACTCTCTCATGCCCCCCCCCCCCCGCGATCATTATAGCACAATTGCTGTGGAGTAGACGGATTCACTGACTGGGATATACGCTTCACTCATCGTCCAGCACATGGAAAGTACGTACCCAACAGCTGCTGCCCAATTGTCAATGAGGAACTGTGCACCGATACGCACAAGCTGCTCTACAGAACGGTACGAAACATACACGTTGCTGATAAAGGATAATTATTATGTGTATACATGTACATGTACTTGTATCTAATATGCTTCGTATGCTTAGATCTGGTCATAGTGAAACACGTGATTTCAATCACACGCAGCGAATATTAGCCGCTGTATAAACCAGAGCAATAATAATAGTAATAATAATGACAGTTCGCATATCACTCATTGCATGAGGTCAACGCATCTGTTGACAATTTCGAGCCAAGCAGCTCTATCAGAAGCAGATTGCACAGCATCCAGAAGCGAGAGATCAATGCATTGTAAGTCTTTCTTGACGACGTCGATCCATCTCAGACGTGGTCGTCCGCGGGGTCGTCGTATGTCTGTTGTGTTGATTGACATTTGGAGGGCTTGGAAAGAGGACGATTCTGCGCCTTCCCTCACTACATGGCCGAACCACAGCAGTCTCCGTAACCATAAAACAGAGCAAAAGGGTAATCAAACAAAACAATGTAGAACAGTCTCTTTCTCACAGTATAGAACAATCTTTACAGGTTTGATTTTAGTTGTACTTGAAAAGCTATGGAATCCCTTGCCCCACGAGTTTCAATCTGCCGCAAATAATGCTCAGTTTAAGCGCTGCCTCAAAGCCTTCTATTATGGCTGACTGGTTAGTCAACTTACTTACTTACTTTTCTTTCTCCTAGTTCTAATATTTTCCCCTGATCTGCTTAGCGGTATAGAACCGCGTAGCCGTCTTTCCGGCTGATATTTGCCACATTGCATTGCTGTACCTTTCCATCACCATCATAATATTGGGCAAGTCTGCCCGTTTGGTTTGTGATGTTAAATAAAAATAAACAATTACAACAACAAAAGCACACGTGTATTGTATGTTATGAGCTGGATTACGATGGATAGGATAACGATGGATAGGAGTGCTATTATTATACTTTGAAGTACATGTACATTGTACTATTCACGATGCAGTGAGTGATGTCTAGTTTCCATGATGTGTGACAAGTGACAGTGAATTATCGGAATTATTCCCTTTCCATTCCCTGAACTAGTGAATATTCGTCGAGAATACGTTATATGTACAAGTATCGTTATGTGAGAGCATCATACGTCTTTTATCCCTACACCAGTAATACGCTCTGACCTTCCTACCCAACGCAGCAAATCATACACCTACTCTGTTCAATTAAATATTGCGACAGAGCTTTCGGCCACACTCGAAAGTGGTTGTGACGAGTTGGGGAATGCAACTACACGTTTGGTGACATTTTCATGTTTCTTAGATGTTTGATCTCGTATGTTTCATGTTCCACCATTTTCAGGGCTGCCACACAATTCTCGCCAAGAAGGAAAGGGGTATGTTGACAACTGCTGCAAGTCTCGCCGTAGCTGCCGCCGTCCTCGAGGTAAACTCTGCATGCCATATCAGCGCATATTGTAGTGGAAGTAGAACGGGCGCGATAACTGGCGTTCAATATGCATACAATTTCGCCTTAAACGATGGAGTGGATGTTCTCGTTGTGTGAGTAACATAGCACGAGTACGTGGGCCTAGTTCCCGTTTATTGTGTGAATTATAATAAACCAACCAACCAACACCAATGTGCATGGAAACCTCAAACTGTTTTGCTTCGACTGAACCTTACCATACGCCTGTAGGGAGTAGTTCGAGTTGCTGCTGATTGCTCTGCTCTCCCTCCCCGTGCAGTTCAGTAACCCGCACGTAGTATCACAGATACATCGTATTCTCTCTCTCCCCCCGTTTACCCGCAGTTATTAGTATCCTATTCTCTTACTATGTGCTTCCATAGCTTTTACTATGTTCTTCCATAGCCACTTTTAGGCTTAGCCTTCGCCGTCATTTTATTGGGTCGTCATCCCGTTTGAATGTGCGAAGTGAAATAAAAACCAACCAACCAACCAACCTTCCTTCTCATCTTCCCTATTTCAGTTTTGTAGCACTTTCCATCGTACTATATTAATCTCGGCTATCGAAAGACTACCTACACTATTTCAAACGTGTTAGAAATAATCACATGTACCAAACACAGGTGTTCCTGTGGTACAGTATCGCAAGTTGAGGACCATAATCAAGCAATGATCTTGTTCTTCGTCCTTTGTCCTCTCTTCAGATGTTGGGAATTGTGTCCGCCATTCTACTGTCGACAATCTACCAAGAGAAGCCGGGCTACCAGCTGTATTGACCATGTGTATACGTCGCATCATGAACACGTGACATCGAATCATGCCTAAACAATGCACTGCAGCACACCTGAATAACAACTATGTCTTACTATATTAAATTTTGTTTGTTTTGAGCTCACAATTCCTGACTACATCTGGCCAGTATTTGGGGGAAGTTCAACTGATATGATTCATATTGCGTTCCATATAATTATGCACCTCCGAACTGCTGTACGGACACTACCTTACCTCGCTGTGAAAGACTGCGAATACTTCAATGAGGCAGTAGACGACCAGTATGGTTTCCAACGCTGACAATCACATTGATCTATTCCGTGTGGATAATATTCCGCCATGCATGCAGTTTTTCCAATTGAGTATGAATTTGTGCGTAAGAATAAGGCCACGTGCTCTGTCAAGAGGATTCCAACACTGTAGATAGAATGTTGTATTCCTATCTCGGCCAGATAGCTCCGATGTATTTGGCTTGCTCCTAGCATTATTAGGCTTTGTGTATTGTGCCTTCTGGCCAAAGCTGACCGTTATCATTCCACAGACCACAATTATCTGCTATGCGATGTCAAGGCTGATGGAGTTTGTATACATGTACTTCGACATGTGCAATGGGAGCGACCTTCAGATCATGTTTTACATGTAAGAGTATGTCTTGGGCGGACAAACGCTGAAGACATTCCTAGCGTTTCGTATGCGTAGAATATGGTGCTGGCTCGTCCAATCAGGAGTTTTCCACCCAATTCTTTGGCTCTATATGTGGAGCGCAATATGCTCGAGTTCGGGTTGTGAGAGTACATGTAGTAGATATATACAGAAGCCTTGCTTGGTAGTTAACATGTTTTTCGATTTTGACAGCATGTTACAAGGCGAGGACGCGTAGTGCTCCTGACTACAACCATAACCCGGTTGGCAGAGTCCCGGTCTTGCGACCATTTGAACCGTATTGGGAAAACCCAGGTTCGGACCCTCGTTACTCTACGGGTTGGTAGGATTTTTATAATTTTCGTTTTTTTTGTGTTGTAGAAGTCGTCGTGTTGCCGCCGTAGTATTGTTCACGTTGCTGCCGCTGCAGGGATCACGTCTGGAAGGATTTGTGATGTTATTTTCTTGTCTTCCTCTGTAATTAAATTACTTGTGATTTATTTCTTTTTTCTTTTGTTCTTTTGTTCTTTTTCTTTTTTCTTGTCTTTTTTCAACTTCTGCCCATGGCGTCCTTCTCTCAGCTCGTCAGCTGTAACAGTCATAGTCATCACCATGACGACTGTTGTGAGAAGGTGCTCGCTGCCGACGAGGTTGGTGATGTCCCGACGAGGCCATGGGTAGGCCTTCCTACCAACCCGTAGAGTAACGAGGGTCCGAACCTGGGTTTTCCCAATACGGTTCAAATGGTCGCAAGACCGGGACTCTGCCAACCGGGTTATGGTTGTAGTCAGGAGCACTACGCGTCCTCGCCTTGTAACACGCTGTCAAAATCGAAAAACATGTAGTAGATAGCCGGAGATGACCGAATGAGCTTCAAACAGTCCACGGTAAGCATTTTGCTAACGCCACTGAATGTAGTATTCGTATTTATTTAGCATTTAAATCGGGGTGGGGGGGGGGGATCTCGTAGTGTAGAGACCGACACGTGGACTCCGTCTTAGGTGGGTAACGACGTTGTTCCATCTATTGAAGTAATACTAAATGGTTATCAAGAGCTGAAGAGTAAGCACGTATATTGCTATTGATCCAAACGGATTTCCTGCCATTGTGCCTCTGCACAACATAGACGATAGTGCTGCGTGTGTCCATGTCGCTAGTACTTAGTAGTAGTAATCCAAGATGAGCCGTGGCAGGACGGAAGCAGATCAACGATGCGCACACTGTAGTCTGTCGAACGCCTCTGCTGGCTGCCATCCTGCTAGGATCAAGCAAGCACTCGCTGCACTACATCAGAGGTCATAACTAGTGTGCCTCCCTCTGGCTCTAGCTCTGCTTTGTGCGTCCTACCGCGACAAACACATGTTCAGCTCAGCACTGAACGCCGAAACCTGATTTACTCTCAACGCGCCAGACGCTACGGTTACGCTAGCCAGTGTGGCTTGTTGCGCGCTGCGCACTCACTAGCAGCCTGAGCCGGTAGATAGCTCTGCACCTTTGTGACTATGGAAGCACGGTTCAATCCCTTGCCTTGGATTGGATTGAACGTCAATGATGTTGGACACAGTCATGTCAGCGGACAGAAGACCTAAGAAGTGTGGTTGGCTGACTAGGAATCTAATGTCTTGGTTTGACACACGACAGGGTGTTATACATCGGAGGTAGTATATTCCCGTAGAATTATGTACAGAGTAGCTGTAGGTCACTTCCAGAGATGGGATCGACATGCGGGACGTGTCGTCGACAAGGCTCGAAGAGGAGAGCGTGTGAAAACGTAGGTGTAAATGGTAGCGAGGATAGCAATGAAGACGTTAAGTGTGGTGAAGGTCGCTCAAGGCGGGTGCGCTACTCGCGAGATGGATGCGAAGAGCATAAGAAAGCTAATGTCACTTCAGTAGACCGTCAAAATAGCAGCGGAGACGGTAGTCCAAGGACTCACGATACGAGCACGACGCAGTTACAGCTGCAACACACGGGGCACCGTCAGAGATCGGGATCAGTCCCTTGGAGCCACACGGAACGTAACAACACCGTGAATATCAACGCCAAGCCTCATGGGCAACGCCGTCCTGCGAGACGCTCTGCAAGCTCACCCAGGTCGGCTAAGCCACTCACCAAGTCGCTCTCGGTAACCTCAACGCGACCAGTTCAACCCGTGTCTACCGCGGCCAGCAATCAACTATCAGTATCACCATCCAAAGAAAAGGTGCGCCTGGATCGCCGTCACACCGTTCAGCAACCCTCATCCCATGACGTCAACGGCGGGCGCAGCGCCCCGCGGCCGGGAACGGGATTCACGGCCAACCTCCAGTCACGGGGCACTTTGGCGTTCGCAGTCGATTACATCGGCTGTGACACGGAGATACCATTCCGACTGGGCTACCTTCCAACGGATGACTCCACCATAGGAGCTTTGGAGAGACAATACGCGCAGCGCAAGCCTCCGTATCGCCAGGTGATTCTGGTCATAAACGAGGAGCGGTTGACGATCTTCGACTCCTACGATTTCAACCAGGTCGTTCACCGCCTTCCACTGCTGGCAATAGTGCAGGTCGATGCCCGTCATGATACAATAACAGTGGTCGAGGACACCAGGGCAACAGTGCGATCATGTCACGTAATGCGCTGTCGCCTTGCCAACCAGTCGCACACGATCGTCAGCGTGATCTCGCGCGTCTTCCACCGAGCGTTCACGGAATACGCGCTGTCGGCGCGGGCTAATGCCCTGGCGCAGGACACTGCCAGCACCGCCGTGGGCCAGGAGAAGAAGCCTAGTCGAACGGTGTCTCTCGTGGACGTTTTCAACGTACACCGGGATCTTCTGGTGACCCCTGACGATGAACGACGCACCATCGCGTCAGAGACTGACGGCGGGGGCGAGCTGGGGAGAAGACGAGATGATAATCAGGGCCGGAAAGTCAGCGAGACCGGATCGAGCAGTACAATCATTGCAAAGGAGCAGCCGACCATGCAGCCAACTGCTTCCGTCGCTGGCATGGCCCTGTCACGTGATATGACGGCAGTAGCCGAGGAGCAGCACCCGAGTGACGATATCAATCCTCCGGCGTTCTCGCGCGACGTGTACCGGCACTCGATCCGCGTACGGCGTCCTGGACTGCGCGAGTCGGAGACCACCATCACAGCGGTGCCCATGGACGCTGGATCGCAGCCACGGCGAAGGTCGGCCAGCTCGTCCAAGCGGACTACGCCGTCGACGTGCAGCGAGAAGGATTACCTGCAGATGTCGTACGATGAGTTACTTGACAGTGTTAGTATGGTGATGGGTACACCGGTGGAATACCTCAGACTACCTCATTGACTGCGGAGTGATTGTCGGATAGCCACCTATCATCTTGAGTTTGATCCTAACCTTGAGTAGCAGATTATAGACAGTACATGTATGCTTCGGCAGGGCACTTGTACCTGCATTGAGTTGTACGAGATGGAACCCCCCCCCTCCTCTCACACTTGGATGGATCTGCCTTCTCTTGAATGAAACGTTCTGGTACGCAGTGCACCCTGCGGTGAAATGACCTGGTGCATTTACGTACTCGTTTATTAAAAATAACCCACTGGGCGGTGCTGTGGGTGGTATGTTCTTGCTGTTTAGCCGGTATAAATTGGGTAGATTCAATGGGGTACCAGCGGTACATGTACATGTACAATGTAGGTATGATCTCACTCTGGAGGACAAAGCACCTGAACCGGAGGGGCTTTGCTAGCCATCCAAGAACCTCCGGTCCTCCATATACATGTACATAATATTCATGCACAGGGATGTGATGGGTACACACGGTCAGAGCCAAGGCTTGTACTGGACAAGATGAGCAAAGGTGTGCCAATTATTAGCTAGCGTAGCGCATGCGTGTATTGTCACATGTAATAAAGCATACGTGGCAAGACATACGTAGACCACATACACTGTTCAACAGAATGGGCGGTGAAAGTATTACATGCTATACGAGTAAGTATTGTACAAGTGACACCTGGTGTCAGGGACTACCATTAGAACGGGTCAATGATCTTCGAACGTAGGTGCTACCTGAAACCTTCATGATTGTTCACAAGCAGCGCATTGGGATGGTGAACAACTCAGAGCAGAAGAAGTCCATTGGACCAGGTAAAGGGTCCCTCCAGCCAGGTTGTCATTTGACCAGACTTCACCAATATGTCCTTTGAGGAGCGGCACGCTAGAAAGCTAACTACAAGTGTGGCCTGCGGATCAACAAGTGGTCGCGAGGAGGACATTCCTTTTCTGCAAGGCGTGTGCTCAGAAACCAAGGTACATGTATGTGTCGTGTAGTGTATACTGTCCGGACCAAAGTCCGAAGTCATTAATTTTTTTGATGCGTCTTCGTCCTCCTTGAGTGACCACCTAGCACGTTATACTTGCGCCTGCGGTACTGGTACGAGTAATACTAATAGTAATGCACTTGTGCCTGCGTGCGGCAGCTGCGCAGTGTCGGATCGGAGCTTGACACAAGCCTCGCACATTCACGTTTTCGGAGCACTGCATTCCAATCGTACCTTCTCGCTAGATTACCGCGACATCAGACAGCCGACAAACAGAAGCCTAGTGCACTCAGCGGAATGAAGCGGGAAATCTGAAAATATGGGCCAACCGTCTTCGCTTCGTTCCATGTTCCATAATGCCTATTACAGTATTAGTGGTCCATGGATCCAGCACATGACAATCGGGACAATCGAGCGACTGCAGGTCGGTCTGATGCGCAATATGTGCTCTCCACCAAAACTCCACGAAGAAATGTTGGTTGTTCTGCAGAAGCTCCCGTAATGTACCCAGTACTTCAAGTATTTCTAATAGAAGTATCACCTGGGTATGATGTAGGTTTCCACACCAATAGTCAGGAGGACGAAGCGGAAATGTGAACGCATTGGCTCGCGGACACGTTTGCACCATCGGGCAACGCAGCCCAGTGACTAGTTCGGTTTGAACTGAGTTATCCCTTCTTCAAATGACTTTCATTCATTTTCCAGCTCCAT